AACGACACTTACACCTTTGGTCACTGTTCCTTCATTCTGCAGTTCTGAGGCTCTGGAAGTATTTGATAAATGAGTATATGCTGCTACTTTTTTTAATCTTATTTTTTCTGTCTACTGTGTTCAAATGGGATTTAATCTGAGAATCTATTTTAGATTTGTCAGTGTGGATAGAAGATAAATAGGAAGGTCAAAAGAGGTTGTATATTGTTATAAATTGGTAACTGATGTTCTTTGCTTCTACTGCAGTGCCAGTTGATTTAATAAAGAATTTATAAGCAGTGACTGTAACACATAGGTTTAATTTGATAAAAACCTGTTGTCAATTCAATTCCATTTAAGAATTTGTATGCAAAGTAAGAATATTAATGCTCTATATTATTTTGGTTGATTTTAGCACTTCTAGCTAAGCAAAACCAAAGTATTTTCAGAAATAAATTCAGCTTACTTAAACTTAGTTCAGGGACAGCCATTTAAGTTATGGGTCGTAGTTTGCACTTGATGGTTTGTATTGTCCTGAAAATCTCAACCAAACTTGAAATAATTGAGAAGGGCTCAGAAGCAATATGATATAGCTTAGCTGTTTGATACCACATGGCTGTATTTTGAACAAGGGATTTGTTACTGATGGAAGGGTGCAAGTTGCCACTTGAGGAGTCCTTTTGTAGCAAAGCTAAATGTAAGGGATTTCTGGACATGAAGTGAACTTGAGAAGGGGTCAGGAGAGCTAGGCATAGTGGGGAAGGAAATGTCTTTAACCCTCTTGTACCTTGGCTGAAGAATCTTCAGGGAATTGTGCACTGAATTAATGCTGCTTGTTACGGCCAACAGGACTGAGCTCCAAGCCTTACCGTCCACAGCACAGTAGCAAAAGATTATAAGAAGCTGCATGTTGGCCATGCTGAATAAGAGTTCAGTAGCCTGAACACTGGGCAAAAACAGATCTCTAGAAAGTGTGAATATTTCATCCTCTTGTAGATCCCAAAGGTTTTCCTAACACATTGTAAATGTCTGGATTTTAGCAATCTGTTTTCTCTTCAAGTCAGGCATGTCAAGATTAGCCTCAAGTAAGTTGAGATACAAGGTTTTTTTCCAGTGGATACCCATAGAAGAAAGACTTCCACTCCTGAGTAGTAGAAACATTACTGAGGTGGAAAACTCATGAGAGTGCTTTGGAAATGTTCAGCAACAACTGCAGCTGCTGTGGTGTGCAGCTCCCCCTAAACCTCTCCAGTGCAGGATGTGTTCACGCCTCCACTTAGCAAGCTTGTGTTATCTGGGGTGTGGTGTTCATTCATCATTACTCATGCTAGGCTAAAATTTGGCCAGTTATTTCAGCTTTGGGGAAAGATCTGATAAACTTGAAATTGGTCTCTTTGGCTGTTTTGAAGAGACAAGTGTACATCATTTAAACCATATTCTCTTGACAGTAGTGTATCAGAAGCTTTTCCAGGAAAAAAATCTTCAGGGAGGCCACAGATCTACACATAATACTATGATGAATTCTGGATTCGTTTCAGCTATTAATAGCCTGACTTGTAAAATACATGTAAACTGCTTATAGCAATTGAATCCATATGCCCTTTTCTAAAGAATCCTCAAGAAAAGCTTTGTGATGAGGAAAAAAATAAGGGGAATGTTTATCAGATGATCACAGCAAGTGAAAGACTCCCTAATATTAGCACTAGATGGACCAGATGCAGAACCTTTTAGGATCAAGCTATTAGAAGTTACTGACCAAAATTATTGCGAATTAACCACAACACAAGGAACAGGAAAATCGGAAGCCTGAGGTAGGACTGCCAGAGCAGCTATAGAAAACCCAAAGGATTGGCACCTTTTGCTTATGACAGTGAAACGCACCTTTTGTTTAAAACATAGGTACAGTATGTCTTTCTTCTTCCTAAACATAAAAAACCCTCAGCAAACCAAACCAAACCAAACAAACCAAAACCCTGCAAAACCTCAAAAAAACCCCACCTAAACAAAGCCACACCACCTCAAAAGCCAGACTGGAAAAACAGTTGATTAAACTGCACAGATGTGAATGCTTGATTTTCTTTGTCCCCATTACATGATCCTCTCACAATATAGATATCTCTGTAAAACCTACTTCATCTGATAATACTTATGTACAAAGGTTTCAGTCCTTTGTGTCTGGGAATTTGGTGGGCATCTCAGAAGACACAATCCCACTTCAGATGAGATATCTTAGAGGTTAATTAATAATAATATAACGAGCCCTGTACTCTTTCCAGTTCAGACTATGTAGCTAATTAGCTACTCTACTGAATATCTTTTGAGAAGCTGTGAATTTTATTTCAGAAAAATCCATGTGCCTACTGAAAATTGGAGCTCTGTTAAGCAACAGCACAGTTATGCCACAGAGATGTTCTTCAGTTGGATGAGACAGGCAGCGACCAGAAAAGATTCCTGGTTTATTGTTTCAAATCTATTTTTCAATTATTTTCTTCCTGTTTGGAGAAAATCCTTTCTGGCAGTGGTTCAGCCTTCTTAGGAATTTTTTATATCTAATTAACTGGGATTGGTTCCCAGGTCATCAGATTTGCCATCATCTTTAAATCAAGTGTGTCTGAAATCACTTGTGACAAGCAGCTCTGTGGGCCTCACTCCACTGAAGAACTTCAGGAATGCTCAGAAGTAGGGATTTTATTTTTCTTTACTGAACACAGATAAAATTGCTGTTCCTCTGTATGATCGATATTGTTTACATGGGGCAGAAAGTACAGGAAAGGATGTTGAGTGCTGACCTGTCTGAACTGGAGATCTACCTTTGAACCCTGTTCAGTATTCACAGCCCAAAGCTCCACATATAAAGTAGCTGCTCTTTGCATATCTGCATGAAAGATCAGAATAGCTGTGGTTTGATGCCAGCATTACATTTTAGATACATTCAGAGCTACTTTGTTTTCTTTTCCTCAAATTCCAATCTTGAGGGCTGGGATGGGACTGATGGGACACCTCAGGGGTTAAATAATTGCTAGATACAGTCAGAGGTGAGGAGGATGGCCAATAATGAAAAAGATAGAAAGAGAATGTGTGCTAACTGTGTTTTTCCTTCTCAGTTCAATATTGGTTTTGTTGCTGCAAGGCAAGGATCAGATCTGTTTCCTCCCTCATTACCTTTTCTTCCTTGAGTAGGCATATCTTAATAGAGGCCTTTCATTCTCCCTTTTACCAGAGCTCCCTTTTTTTGCCTGATAGGTCTATATCTGCGGTGCAAAAAATACTAAATCACATTAGTCTCCCGGTTTTGTAGATGCTGCCCTCTAAGGAGGAGGAATCATCAGCAAAGGCAGTATCTGAGTAAGGAGTGCTGAAGAGTGAGTGTGGCTAAACTAACAGCACACCAAGTCCTCTTCTCTGGCCTTGTATTGCTGAAATTCCTGAACGGGAATTGTTGGTAGTGATAATGAAAGATGTAGTCATGTCCACACACACAACAGTGTTTATGAACACTGACCTTCCCGAAAATCAAACCAGGTACTACACTACTAAGGCAGAAACATTAAAATTAAATGGTGCAACTTTACCTGCAGAAGGGCTGGGTGGTAGAGCTGGTTGTCTGGTAGTTGTCAGGTACTTTAATCCATAAACTTTGTCATCTCATATAAATACTTTTAAATACTAAGCCTGTAAAATCAGTATCAAATGTGAACCAAAAATACGTTGTTATTCATCTCAATAGACCTAAGGAAAGGTTGAATTTAGTAATGTTACAGTCTCAAGTATAATGAAGTAGGAAATGGATTTGATGACATTTTACAAGTCAGCTACAGAGTAAACAGGTATTTTGTGCGTATAACATCTCAGTGGATAGGGAATGTTTTGTGAAAAAGGATTTGAGTTTAACTTGTTTGAACAGCCAGATAAAATTTTAAAGACTTTTTAGAATTCACTGTTTTATAGAATCATAGAATAATTTGGTTGGAAAAGACCCTTAAGATTATCAAGACCAACCATTTGTCACTATTAAGGGTTGTTTTTAGGATTAATTATTTTTTTATTTAAAAAGCCTGATGTGGACATTGCATGCTTAGTTTCTGATGCAAGTAAGTTAATATATTGGTTGCTTTGGTCTCCGAAGAAGAAATAGTGACATTAATATGTCTGTGTCTTGATTTTTGCTGGCACTGTAGGCCTGAAATCTGATCAGCTTTGTTTATTATGGGTATCAATGTATTTTAGAGAATGAATAGCTCAGTGGATTTGGGTAATAGGATCTAGAGTATTTAGCATCTTTACATCCGTGGTTCAAGTTCAGCTTATGCTGTCTGTGCTAGTGTAGCTTCTGAAGTCAGACATCTGTGGAGTTAATGGTCCCAGAAATGGCACTAGAAAGCTCTATCAACATCCATATCAACAGTGTAGGAAGAATGAAATAGCAGGTTGAAAACTGTCATTCATTGTCTAAATTCATGCATGGCAGTGAAGCAATTGAGAAAGTACATGTTGTTTGACAAAATGTGGAGGCAGCAGGTTTACACAAATATCTGACTGCAGTGTGCCATTCATTGACTTGAACTGTGAGAGAGATGGAGATTTAAAAAGACGTTGGGCAAATCATGGAGATTAGATAAATTGAGACGTAGCCTCTAGACAGGAAATCTTTGAACCACTGGTGACTTGAATGGGAAGATGTGAAGAGGAAGGTTGTTCTGCATCGTCTTGTTTCTTTACAGCCTTTTACTCCAAATGGTCGCTGTTGGCCTCTGTTGAGAGCAGTATTCAATACTAGATTGACCTGTGCACTGAAGCAGTGTAGCAGATCTTACATTCTCATTGCTATTGTCACATCATGAGGGCAACACTGTATCATAACAGGTAAAACAGAAGGAAAATGACAGTGATCTGTCAGCAAATAATGACTGGTCACAAAGCAGCAATGCATTGGTCCCTCACTTCCCTTTTTTTTAATTTTTATTTAGGCAGGTGACAAGCATTATCATCCAAGCTGTGCACGATGCAGCAGGTGCAACCAAATGTTCACAGAAGGAGAAGAAATGTATCTGCAAGGTAAGGACATCTCCATTTCTAACAAGACAATCAGACTTTAATTTTTCTGTCAAGGACCTCAGGAGTTTCTAAACCCTTTTGCTCTAGTAGGTGTCTGTAGCAATGGCTTTGCAGTGACCCTACACCCTAGCTGAGGCAAACTGTTTTCAAAAGCTGTGTAGCAAAAATGAAATTTGTTAGGCTGCCTCTGAATTTGGCATCTCACGGACAGCTTAGCTCACAGACTGCTTTGTGGGATACCACACAAAGTGAGAGGCTTTCCCCTGAGTTCTGCTGATCGGTTTCTCTGCTTTTCTGGACCATGCTCCAAACTGTGAAAGGCAATGGAAAAACTTCCAGAGGCTGCAGTGAGCTTGTTTTGAATCATGTAGATCTCATTGCCTGTGCATATTGACAGAGTGTCTCCTCTGGTTCTTAATCATATTTGCTCACCTCGCCTACTTCCTATTTATCTGGTCACATCTCTCTTTTTCATCCCATTTACTTGATCTTTATGTCTTTCTACAGCCACTTCTTTCTTCTGTATTAATTTTCATCTCTTATTAACAGTCTCACACTCCCAGATATTGCCAAGCATATTTTTTTCATTATCTTTTCACATTAAAAAAAAAAGTGCTCTTTTCTTTGATTGAAAAATATCCTTTATGTGAATTCCACCTACTCTCCCAGAAGGTAGCATATTAACTATCAAGCTACAGTTATTTTTATAACTTGCTGTAGTATTATTTAATGTCGGTAGAAAGACGTGTAATACACATTTATGCAAGCCAGATACTAAAAAGGCAGATACAATTGGGACATTGTGTAGAATCATAGAACTTATGTTAGAAAACTTGCCTGATATACCTGAAAGGACTGTGAAAAAGTTGGAAAGAAATTATGAAAGTGTGGTGGCAACCATCTTCTGAAATTCTGAGGAGAGATTCTGGAGGAATTCCAAAATTAAGATAATATTGTTGAGGAATTCCTTTGAAGCTAACTTGTGTTATTTTGTAGTTTGCTCTCCTTTGCAGTCCAACTTTCACTGACCTTAGTCATTGTATTCCGGCTGTACACAGAACTGGATACTGAGTTGTGTAGCAGCTCCGCATTGCAAGAGCAAGGAGAGGCTGAAAGAGAGCTGGGTAGGAGGTACTGCTTTCTGATGGCAAATTGGAAAAAGTATTTTGAAAGCAGAAGTTACAGCACCTGACAACTGGTAATCTCCTTAGTTTCCTCACATCATATTATGATAAAGTACAGACAGTGTTCAGGGTGAGCATCAGTTCATCCTTTAGTGCTATTAATAACAGCTGTTAGCAACTCATGCTGTTTGCACCAGTCTAGCAGAGAGTGGAAGTTCATGCAGATTGGGCAGGCTGTGGTGTAAATTTCTGGAGATCCAAATAAGACAGAAGGCATTGCTTCTACCTAAGGCTAGATTTTGTCCTGGCCAAGTTCATGTGGTGTGAAAGAGGAGAGACTCTTGGCTCCTTGATCTGCCATCATTCTCTTCTTGGCTGTATCTTCCTTTCTGTGGCTGTGGTATAATGTTCTTCAGGCTTGCTCTGTCTCAGAGGAGGAGCAGCCCAAGTTGCGTTGCTTTATTGTTCACAAGCTGTTTTCTGAGTAAATAATGTTATTGCTGAGTGTGCTCCAGACTGCCTTGCCAAAACTTTCCTTGCTGTATTCAGCATGCTTGTAAGTGTAAGGGACCTAAAAGCCTTTCCTGTGCAGAGCTCTCAGCTGAAATGTATATCCTGACTCCATCCAATTTGTTTACTCTAGGGTGCAGAATAACAGACTCTAAACATTTCTCTGAAATAAAAGTACACCACAACACTAAATCTAGAATAAAAATTGCATTATTGGTAAAATATATTAAAATAGGCAGCTTCCATCTCACTTCTAATTGTCCTCTCCACAGGATATGAATGCACTGTATTGGTATTGCTTTGTATGATAGAGAAGCCTGGCAGGTTTGTGGTAGCTACATTAGAAATGTGTGGAAAATCTGCAAAAGGAAAACATGGAAAAACAAGCAGTCTATTTTGGGGCTTTGTAAGTTCAGGATGGTTTGAATAATGCTAGCAAAAACATTCTGGCTTCACCCTGCTCTCTCACAGGAGAACGAAAAGGAAGCTGCATCAGAAACTTTTTCTTTCCCATTCACTTCCTAGTAATATATTATGATACGGAGTGCCCCAGAAGACTGTTGCTGAGCTAAGATGTTGTTCAGCATTTAGAGGGATGCTTCACTTGATTCTCACACAGGCTTTCAGCCTCATTTCGCTCATTTCGCTGTGTAAATAATAGCCAGAGTTATTGATTTTTAGAGAGCTGTTTGTTGAAACAATGGTACGTGCAAAGTAAAAAGCTGAATAAGTGAACATGCTGGTTAGTGTCTGCCAAATGAGCAAACAAACATATGTTGAGAAAGGAAACAACCACAATTTGCTGAACTGTTTCCGGTAGAAAAAAAGAGTGGCAATGCAGCTTGAGAATTTGCACTGTTCCAAGTGTTTCAAAATAGAGTGACATGTTTGGATGAAAAAAATCTACAAATCGTAGGTGGCTCAGAGTTCAAGATCTTGAAAAATATTTATATTTAACTTCTTAAGCCAGCTCTATCTGATTTGGAATTTTAAATTTCAGATTTTTCATATTTACCATTTTTTGAAAGAACTCACAACTGTTAGCTGAGTTCCACCATGAAAATTATATCCATCTTGCATTTCCTGTTCACTTTCAACAGCTTCAGCATTCTCCTGACATGTCCCTAAAATTGTGCCAGTTTGTGCTAAATACTACCCAAAAATGCAGTGACAGCTTTTTCTCTGATGGTGAAGGATAGTTTAGTAGAGAAGAAATTGAGGTACAGAGGAAGAGAGATTATTTTTCTCAGGGTCACAAAGGAAGCTCACGGCTGAATTTTCAAATTGAATCTAAACCTTCTGAGTCTTAGTTCATCAGCCTTACAGTATGAACTCCCTTCCTCCTCAGTGTGTGGATCTGTGTGACCTCCTGAGGAAACGCACTGGGCACGCTTCTCTCCTGATCTCACAGCTCGGTGGGGTCCTGGCTCTGAGGCTGCTGTTTGTTTGCAGAGAAGGCTGTTGGCACACCTCTCCCTGGTGGCTGATACTTTCCCCCTGCCAAGTGCACAGTTTCTTCTTCCTCAGCTTAGACTCAAAGCCAAACATCTCAGACCCCTGATCCAGAGTCACAGCGTTCTCTCCAGTCTCCTGATGATGATTATACTGTCTGCTGCTGGGAAGTGAAATCATTCCTGCTGGTCTGTACTTCTGTACCCAGCCATGTAAGGGCTCGTTAGAACAAAATTTCCAGGGGCCCTGACCCATTCCTCTCCTGGACTCTGAGGGTGGGGCTTCCTCTGGCTGCACTTGAGCTAATAGTCACCAGCAGGAGACCTGGACTTTGCTCTGTTTGGTTTCTTTGTGGACAGAGTGAAGAGGTGATGCTCCCCCCTGCAGACAAACAAGGTTCTGTATTGGCTTTTTGGTGACTGGGATGAAGTTTGAATATGACTGCAGCTGCAGTCAGTGTTAAAAATCAGCATTAGCTTCTGCTCCATTTCAGCTTGGCCAATACCTGCCAGCAGCTTCCCAGCAGTGACTACAGTTTAGATTCTGTTCCAAAGGAGAACTGAAATGCTCCTTGCCCCTGACACTGCTCAGCCCTTGGGGACAGCCAGGTATTTTCATTTTTACAGCATAAGAGAGAATCCCATGTTTTGGGATGCAAACAGCAGAGATCTTGCCTTTTTTAGTAGGATGCATAGCTGGAATATGCCAAGTGGAAATGCCAGTGCAGCACATGCCACTGACCTTGCAGAGCAGGGGGTAGAAATGATGTGTGTGCCAGCTGTGATCTCAGAGAAGCTCTTTCCCATGCTGCTTTGTACCACCTGCATCAGACTGGCCTCTCTAGCTTAGTGCAGCAGGTGGGATACTGCCCTGACTCTACTCTAATTTTCTAATTTTGCTTTTCCTGTTGCATTTTGCATAATTGCAGGGAAGAAGTGATCTGAGTACTGCTTTACAGTACATGACACGTATCGTTCAAGGAAGTCAATAGGACTTTCCCCACTATTAATGGACTTACGATTAGATCTTCCTTTGTACATGTTGTGCAGTACATAAGGGGAGAACAGATCATGTAACCATGGCCCAGTTCTTTTGCTCTTACCCTCCATCCTGCCCAGAGGAACCCTTTGTCTTTCAGTTCCTCCAGGTGGTGCTTGCTGACTGCCTTGCTGCTTGAGACTGAGTTTTAATTAAGAATGTGTGTAAACTGCTTTGACAGCCTGAGAAAGAGGCTACCATAAATGGGCCAAGGATTTGAGTATCTTTTTGTTTCACTTCTATCTCTCATGAGCTAGGATTGAATGTGAGTTACTTAAATAGTTCATTACTGATTCACCATCTGATGCACTGAAGGTGCATAACCAGAAGTCATCTGCTTTACTCTGAATAAAGATGGGGTTTTTCTCCTTCAGGTTCCACTGTCTGGCATCCCGACTGTAAGCAATCCACCAAGACTGAAGATAAGCTACGGGTAAGCTGAATTCATAGTAATGATACACCAGATATTTTGCGCACACATTAACTGAATGTTGTTTTTAAGAGTGACTTTTTCCATGTTTTTTTTGCATAGCTGTCACGACTCTGGCAGAATAAACAGTGGAGGCACTTCAGAGGTATTGCTCTGATTTTTAGGCTCACCACTTTCACATACCTGTCTCAGTGCACTGCCTTAATGATAGTATCATTTTCTGACATACAGACATAGCAGAGTCTCTAAGACACTTCATTTCATATCTCAGTTATTGTGAGAGAGACTCTTAAGAAGAAAATGTGAACAGGGCAAATGCTACAATATATTTTAGTATTTTTGCACATCTGTATAATCGCTCTACAGTTATCCCCTGTTCTGCATGGTTATTTACAGCATTTAGACAATATGGACTCTTCTTCCTTTGTCATCCAACTGGCATAAACCCCAGCCTAAAGTGTTTCTAATTTGAATACCAAGAGGAGCTGCAGTTACCCTTGGAGTCACCTCAGCATATCCAGGCAAATTTTCTAGATCAAATCCTTGATGGCAATAATGCTGCACTGATAAATGCTGGAGCCTGGCTTTTTGCATGCACCAGGCAATTCTAAGCCCATATTCACTAATTCATCTTCTGGGCAATTTACTCTTTTTGATGTGTCAGTTGGTCATTTGAACTTTGATAAATTTTATGGATATGAGTATTAGAGACTCCATATGAATATAATATCTTTCAGACAAGGAAACTAAGAGCTACGGGCATGGAGATACACAGGATATCCTGTGGGTTGTGTTCTATATGTGGCTTATTCACAGGAAGCTACATCCTTTAGAATTTATTCAGGTGCACTGATCTGTAAAACATCTCCTGCAGAAAATTTGCTGTGATCATTGGTAATGTGCAGATGATTTTCTGTTGAGCAGAGTTCATTTTAATGTGGGCTGTAGTGATAATACAGATGAATCATTGGCCCTAGATGGGCACATAATATAGCATGGCCAAACATCACTGTAGTCCCACCCAGCATTTGCACATTGTTCTGTCCTGACTTTCTATAAGAAAATGGAAAATTATGCCAAACTGGATTTTCTTCCTCATTTAACAGTTTAAATGTAAGACAGTGTTTTGGCTCTGCTTAAGTGCTTGGGCTTTGTGGTGAATGGTTGGGGTACAGTACCTCCCTTTCACTTGGACGCAAGAGCCTTATCAAAACACTCCATACTGCATTGCAGCCCTTATGAACCTTCTCCAGCTGACCTTATAAATCAGTTAGCTTACTTCCATTCCCTGTGGAAATGGCCAAAGTCCTCTTCAAATATTTTCCTTTTTTCTGTCACACATTCTAGAATGTCAGTCTTTCTCCCTCTCAGCTAATTTTAATTGCAGTGGGTGAAGTAAATGAATTCATACACCTGCAAGACTTTGCCTAAGTGAGTTCCTGCAGGAAAATGAAGTGGAGGAATGCATATTAAGGGAACATCTGAGAAATGTTACAGCACAGCTATCCAAGGTTGCCTTATTCCTGGATGAGAGCTTCTATGCAGAGGCTTAATATGTCTTTAAAAGGTATTGACAAATGCACTGTACTGAAGCTAGCTGGAGAGATGGAGAATTTTTATCTTCAGCTGTACATCACAGATGGAGACTGTCTACTCTGGTGAAAAGTCAGACACCTTATTCTAAAACCAGTTTGAATTCGCTTTGGCACACATTTCATTCTGCTGACTCAAATGAAGGCAGTAGCAAACAGGTAGGTACAGAAACAAATGAAACTGGGTGAATGATGTACTATTCAAACATGTCACCGCTAAAGTATGAACTGTACTTTGATTGACTTTCAGTTTCTTACACATTTAGACCTGATGTGAGAATCAGAATCTACTTTGTGAGTTGACAGATTTATGATTTAGCCACTCTCAGGGTCAGGCCTAGATTTTCTGGTGGTTCTGCAAAAAGCCAGTGTCATGGCCTATTTGCTCTGCTGGGCTTCCTTTCCCTAAAGAGCAAAACAAACCAAAAAGCCCTTTTATCGTTGAAGTCACTTCGGAAGTTTTCTCTAAGTGACTACAGCCAGTTCTGTTTTCCTTCAGTAACTGAATTGTGATATAAACTAATCAGCATTATAGCTGGTCAAGATCTGAGAGTGAGTTCATAAAAACAGTGGTTGCTTTAGATCTTGCACCCACTGGATATTTGTGGAGGATTGCAAAGCCAAAAAAAGCAGAAAAAAAAAGCAACTTACGTGTATGCTACAAAAATATACATTGCTTCGGGGTTTTTTTACAACTGTCTGGCTGTTTGTGATTCTGCAGGGATCAGTAAGTAACATGGATATTATAGCACACAGATTATTATCTAGCAAGTGGATATTAGTAATTTGATTGAAAAAAGAGCTTAACCACTGAGCTGGGGAAACTGCTTTCCTTTTCACTCTTTTTTTCCCTTTTGTGTTTCATGACAGCATTCCTCATCTGAGTTCTTTTACCCAAAGAGTCTGGTTCTGCGCAGGCCACGCTCTGCAGAGGTTTGCTGTTGTGTTTTCATAGTGTTGATAATGGTCTTCTTTACTGAGAAGATTCTTCATTATTGTCATTCACTGTGCTTGCTACTACTTCTGCCACACAGCTTTCCTGCTATCCCTTGTCACCCTGGGCTCTGACGCTGTATTTTGCATCATGTGGTGCAGTGTTGTGTGTTAATTCTCACTTTTTAAGTTTTGTTTAATGAAACGCTTAAAACTAATTTTTTTTTTTTTAGATCCAGATGAACTTTTTGGGGCTGTAGTATTGTTCTTCCAGTGTTAAAGGAAGTTTTTCTTCTAAAACAAATAGTTAGAGCGCAAATATGAAGTAAATGAAAATGGTGAAAAGCATCTGACTTTAAAGTGATGGTTAAAAAGAAATAGTTTTTTATGAACAGTGGCTCGTGCTTTTAATATAAAAAATACAATCAGTTAAATCAGGTCCTTTTTTATATATATATTGACTAACTGCATATGAATACTTTAGTTAAGAAAATATTGACAGAATTCCAGGTTTGGACATGTTCTATGTGCTGCCCGAGAGCATTTGCCACTGTGGTCCGGGGCACATCCACTTCTGACCTGGGAGGTTCTCCCTGTCCTCTTGGCCTGGACTTTCTACTTTCAGAACTCCCTGAGTTTGATTTGCGCCTATGAACATCACCCACTTCCATTTCTTCTTCTTCAGGACAGTGCTGATTTATTAGTTGTCTGCTGTGGGGAACGTGTGGCTGTACTGCAGCCAGGCACTCCTGGGGTAGCTTCCAGCTGATAACAAAGTAAGAATGTACTGGTATGGACTTGGTATGGGCTAGCAGTAGGCAGACAGGCTGATAGAGTCCATGCCACTGGATTTCTGTTGTGTCTTGTACTGCCTTCATGTCTCTAATTACAAAGCAGATATAGTCATATCATCAGCCAGGGCAGGATATTTATGTTAGATGTGGCCTGCAGGATAGTGTTACTTGGTTGAATCCAATGCTGTCATTCATTGGGAGTTATTGCACACCCTGTGCCCTTGGTCCTGCATGGTACTTCAGTCAGTTAACCGAGGATGTTGCACACATTGAACACTGCTCTCTCTGTTACCTACAGAAATATCTATCAAGAAAATACAGCTATAACGTTGTGTTATCAGTGCTCCTGAGGAGGGCAATGTCTCTGCAGTCCTAGGCTTTATGGAGTCAAATGCTGGAGTCTGAGAACAGCAAACTGTGGGACCATTTCACTCATCTTTTAGGCCAGTGTAGTGGCTTTTTGCATTCAGCTTAGCATGCACATGTCTGAGTTTCCGGTGCTGAAATCAAGGAGCCTTAGGATTAATAAAACCCAAATCCTATCCATTGTATTAGAAAAATTTGCAAGGCAAAATAGGAGAAGCCCATGTCAAAATAAAGGTATGTTCTCTTTCTTGCTTTGTAGACTGTGTAGGACACAGTAGCTTAGGGTCAGCTGAATATCCTCTTGTGTAAATTTGGCCAGTATTAAATTATGTTTAGATTTACATGCTGATTATACAAACTGTAACTCAACGCAGATTTTGGCTTCAAGTGTTCTGCAGAGTAGACACAAAGATATTATCGTTACTGTTGCTATAAAGATAGGCCAAAGCTTGTATCTACGTGAAAATTTTAGGGGTGAAATCCTGTGAATTCTGAGAAGTTTGCTGTTGAATTCAGTATATTCTGGACTTCCCACTTTATTTTCTTCCGCTTTCCAATTAAATTACTCTTGGTGTTAGTATGAGTTTGGTATCAACGTATCTTCAATGATAATGTGCTGAAAATTCATTCTCCTCTCTGGCCTTTGTGTCTAGAAAGGAAAGAAAAATTAGTTGTAACCTATTAATACGTGTGTCTGTGTGAGGTTGAACTTAACCTGTTCATTAGTTTTGTCTTGTTGCATACATAGCACAGCTATTTTAGGCAGAATAATAATGAATGCATGCATTTGAAGGCAACACTCTTGTAAGGAGGAGGGTATAGTTAAACTAGGAGACAGTCCCAATGAGTGCTGTAACACTGAGGTGCTTTATTAATCTCGTACACGGCCACCGAAAAATTACTGGAATCCATAGGAAGCCCATGTTTAATGAACCTTGGTTCTGGGTCCTAAATAACTGGAAAACCTTGCAGTTGGTGAATCAGGTAGTCAGAGTACCAAGTGTTGTACTGAGAAAGTCAGATTCCTTGCTATTGCAAACTTGTGTCTGCCTAGTAGAATAAATTACATCCTAATCTTCTATTAGTTTCTTTATAAACATGCTTCACTTAAAGTACCTTGTGAGGTTCAGAGAACTTGCTTAAGCTATAATGTTAAATGTTATTAAGTGAAAACATATTCATTCTTCTGCAGCTATTATCACCGCCTTGCATAATGAACTCTATCAAAAAACTAAGGCAGGTACTGTAAATAATGCTAATGATGCATTTGGTAAACAGTAGTGCATCCACTTGGCCAGATGTTCTTGGGATCAGTTTTGATCTGGTTGCCTGCACTTGTAAGTTTTTATAGAGCATGATTCTGAACATCTGTACTTGAGAAAGCCAGAGCCACCACATTGTAGCAGCATCTGGATGATGTGAATGGCTCTAGTATGGATTTTTTTTTTTAAGAAGTTATTTCTTTAGATGATGTGCCATGCATGATGACATGACAGACTGAGGTAAATGCAGATGAATATCTTAAGCTTTGCAATCTAGTATTAAAATAACAAGTTAATCAGTTTGGGGCATATGCATGGATGATACGATAACTGAGCACTGAAATTCACAGTGAACCTAATAGGATGAGCATGACAGTTGGTGTTCTCTGCTGATCTGCAAATGAAGTTGGTAGAGAATGAAGACAAATGCATGGAATGAAGAACAAAAGCATAAAAATAAGAAGTCTGTGATAAAGTGGGAAATACTGAGAAGTCTTGCAGATGCTTTAGATGCTTTGTAATCTGGTTCTTTCCTTTGGCTCCTTTAATGACATGCATGAATTTCTATTGACTGAATTTCTATTTATTTTTTTCATATACTTCATAGACTTCCTGTATCTGGTACAGACATCCCATATTGATATTTTTACTACTGTTACATCCATCTGGGTGGAAGAGGAAAGAAAAAAACAGATGACTCTGCTACTGTCAGAAAATGTGGAGAAAGGCCATGCACCACAAGAAAAGTGTAGTGCTTCATAGAAATTTGCTTTAAATTTCTCTGCACAAAGGTGGCATTATGAAAAGTGCTATTTGAATCCTTCAAGAACAAGTGCAATCATATAGTGTTCCAGATGTTTGTAGAAGTGAGGCAGCTGAACTTGTTTTGTTGCTGGGAGTGTAGAACAAGTGTCATAGGACTATTGAGATGGAAGGAAATACTTCTAAATTAAGGCATTCATATTAAATGATGTTTCTTTACCTGTTGTCTTCCAATAATGTGTGCAAGAGGTGCTCACATACTATCTTCATTGATATTTAAGGGTTAAATCGGGGATAGTTGCTATTCCCGTATCACCTGTGCTCTGATAAGCTCTCCTCTAGGGTGGAATTTACACCCTGTTGCAGTTACATCAATAGGGAACTTGACCTCCAGTATATCTCTTGCCACCTGTTTAACTGTGGTACACAGGGTCAGGAATTCTTGACTGCTAATGAAGGCGTAATGTACAATCTAAGAAAAGCCATACTCTGTCACAGATTTTCAGTCAGGAGCTATTACAGGTCTGTTAGGAGAGGAGCCAACCATAGCAACTAGAAGTATGCCAGAGGAACAGCTTATATCAGGGAATCTTTAGTGTATATTTGTTAAGGCAAGCAGCACAAATGTTTTTAAATGCAATGCAATTGTCTTTAGGGGAAAGTGCAAATCTGTGAAGGATTCCAGACCATATGGGAGCAGCAGAGTAGGAAATAGTTGGCCATCTGTGATGGAAACAGCCTGTGTAATTCAAAACAAGAAATAGGGCAAAATAAGGCAGGAAGTGTGAGAGTAGATGCAAAAGTCCTCTTTTTTTATGCACTGTCTTCAGGGGTATGTTGTAAACTTAAGCAGGATACAGGACTGGAGCGAATAGAGGAGACATCATTCCAGGTCTGCTTGGATCAAGCTCCTGAGGAGAGGAACGATGTGTGCTCAGACAGTGGCGGGCAGGGTGGCAGGGCCCAGGGGATGGGGAGTTTTGCAATAGACAGAAGGTAAAATTCATGTACACAGGAAGAATTACAGAAAATAGAAAACTGGTTTTAAAGAGTGTCATATCTGGCTCATGGCTGTATTAGTGGGATGGTAACGAGGAACTTGGAGCAGAAACACAGTGAGGAAATGAGGAACAGGTGCTACAACGTGCCAGTCCAGCTGATAACTGCTCCTGTGCTCTGGGGTTAAGAACAACTAAGAAAGTGGTTAGCAGGATGTGACAGAAACTATCTTCTTAAGGTGTCTAACCTTATTTAATAAATTCACTTAAGTGATAAATACAAGTGAATATTCCTTTGCTGAAAAGGTTTTAGACACTAAGAGAAGAGGCTGAGAAATTCTTGCTTTCTGAAGTGATTGTAAAAGATCCAGAGGGCCTGCCAGTGGAGAAGAAGCTGTAAATGCCTCTAACGCTTGTTTTCCTACAACAGGGAGAATTGAGCAGACAAAACTTTTAAAGTGTGCCTGCCAAAAGCCAAAGGTAACAGAGACACCCCTAACAGTACCTCAACTACTTAATACTGTTCCTTATGTTGTAATGAAAATAATTGTTTTCCATAGCAACTGCAGCAGCATGTTACATGTGTCTCCACTCAAACAGCCAGTGGTGTGAAATGGCAGAATTGAAGGACGAATAAAGTGTTTCTCAACAACAGCCAGATTTTCCAGCTTAATTCTTGTAACATTTCCATGAAACAAGTGATTGTTGTTGGTTTTTTTGCTTTGATTGCATCATGGGAGGAGCTCAAGGGCAGCTAAGGAATTTCTGTTCCCTTTTGGGAGATAGGAATTTGCAGCCACAGAGAGAAAAGAAAAGAAACACATGAAGGTCCAGCTGAGAAAGTGTTCTCAGACATGCTTTGGAGAGCATGTGTGACTGTGTCAGTCCACGGCCACATCTGCTCTCTGTTTGATCTGAATCTTCACGTTTTTTGGTGGAATATATTCAAAGCCTTTTATTCCTCTGACCCTCCCTGAATGTGGTGATTTCATTTCCAGAAATGAAGTCAGAGAAAGCCTGCTGTGTGATCCATGCCTAGCCTTTATCATTTCATATATGGGTGATTCCAATAGGTTTCCTGGCTATGAAATAAAAGGTAGAAAGACTCTGAGGCCTGTTGAAGGATCCTTTCAGGAAATGTATGCTGAGAGATAAGAAAGGTCCAATAGCTTTGTTGTGTTCACTCCAGATATCTCCAAAGAAAAATCAGTAAGCCAGGCTGTCAAGCCTTGTTTCTCTTTAGCTTGTGCTTGAAGGTCCCTTAGTTCAATGTCATAAGTTGACAAGGTAAGGACTATTTACCAAGGTTTAATTTTCAGTCACTTTGAAGTACCCCACTGCACTAGTGTTGTTAGAGTCATCTGCTGATGCATTGCTTTGTGATGGGATTTGGTTCTTTGCAGTCAATTAGGGAGCAAAAATTGTACATGGTTTCTCAGTTGCGAGTGACACACGTTTGTGTGTCTGCTGCATGCTTAATTTAGGAATAATTGCCACAATAGCCTGGGTGACTTTTGATTGAATAGATGTTTTTTTTCAAATTCATCAAGTGTTCAGGATACCCACATCTTCATGATAAGTTTTGTCTCATCTCACAAAACTTCCCCCAGAGCATCAGTGTCTGTTTAGTCCTGAGGAAGTGTTGGAAAATCCACTGAATGTGTAACAGCACTTGCTCTGTAGGAGTGTGACTGTTCTGAATTTCAGTCTGCAGGACATTGCCATTAGACATCAGGACTTTTGAAGTATGGGGAACCATGACATTTCAAACAGCAGTTTAGCTTCCATGTTGCATCTAGATTGTGCTGCAGATGAGGGAACAGCTCCAAGCCAAGGATTTCTGTTCTGTACAGAAAATTCAGTTCTGTACTCGCAATGGAAATCCAATGATCGAACATCTGGAAAGTGATAGCGTGTGTGCTGTGCTCCTCTCAACAGTTTTGTCTGCTGAACTGCTGATACCTCTAGCTGTTTGTGAACTAACATTTGATAAAATGACCAGCAGGACTATACTGGATTTTACTTTGTATGGCTCCTTGCAGTGTCTCTGGCAGGTGTTGTTTGGTTTTGTTCGTTATTGTTGTCAGTCTTTTACATTGTATGGTTTAGAAAACTTCCTTCCCCTCTCACAGCACTCCTTCCCCTACCAAAAAGAAAAGCCCACCTGCCTCACAAGATTGTGAAATTTGCCAGAATGCTTGCATTTGTTGACATTTTTTCCTAAGTTCAGTTAATTTCAAGATGTATGCAGATTTCTTCACTTTAAAACCAAAATTACCAATGTTAATGGCTTCATGTTGCTCTGAAAAGTTACGTTTTGTTTTTCAGCCTACAAGAACTTCATCAGAAAGCATTTATTCCAGACCAGGTTCCAGTATACCTGGTTCTCCAGGCCACACTATCTATGTAAGTATTCCTTCTGGTAAATAAGACACCAATCCCTTGCTTGCAAATGAAATACTCCATGCTGAAATAAATCACTTTTATACTGATGCTAATGTCTTCGTGCTAGTGGTTAAATTGTTAAAATTCTTGCTGTGAAAGATGTAGTATTTATAACTACAGAATTTCAAGAGCAAGGTAGGCCTTTTCCAGGTCACGTTTCCCTTAGATACGATAAATCTTTTGAAGCCACTTGGTGAGTGAAGAGGGACAGAAGGGAGACCGGCCATTTGACCTATTTAGGGCTTATATGAGGAGATCCGTGCACCTCAATATGCAGTGCTTGAGAGAGCTGCTGTCTGCACTTGCAGGGTGTGGGGAGGAGGTCAGCCTGGCTGATACAGCAAGAAGTCAGATGTTTCGGCTGTGGAAGGAAAGGTGGTTTTTATTTAAGAACAAAAATGAAGTTAAGCATCCTTCTGTTACTAAACTAACAGTGCTGTAAATGTGAAGTTATTGATAGACTATTTTATTTGTGTCTACCTGAGATATAGAGTTTAATATCATTCCTTCAGTAATCAAGCCTCCTCTTTCATTACTGTGGAGGATCTCTTTCACTTCTTGGCCTCATTATTGGTACCTTTTGAGCCATAGGATCTTAGAAGTTTAAAGTGGAAATACATTAGCAGAAGGTTGGCCCAAATTTTTCAAAGGAATAATGTTTTTCTCCTCTTTTCAAACCACTCTTCCAGGCATTTCAGTGTTGTAAATGTCAGTACTTTTTTTTTTGTCTAGGCAGAGAGGTCCATAGGATGAAAAAAAGTTATTCTTTTGTGGCTGTACTGATATGGTTCTAAGGAGGAAAAATATAAACTCAAATGTACTTGGGTGAATAAGAGAACAGCTCAGCCTTCTCAGTCTTGCTGTATTTACATGCATATAACCTACACTTCCAAAAACTCACCAGAATTACAAATCTTGAGTCCTGACTTTAATACCATTTCTTCAGTGCATTTCAACAATAAAAATTAGCTGATATGTTAAAATTGTTCACACCACAGATATGGAGACACAGAGCATGTGCTGGAGAACTGCCATTCTGCTGGTAATATCAACTTCGTAAGCTAATTCTTATGAAACTTAACTGCTGCATAGCAGCACAGTTTCTAGGGCAACATGGTGGTCTAAACCATGGTCTACAAAAATATCTATGGTAGTTTGTACTGGATTACGAATATCCAGACATGTTTGCAGCTCCTTAACAGACTGTGGTAAAAACATTATAGCAATAACATACATTAACCTATATAACAGCATATACCTACATATTTTAAGGGTTAAATTAGTTTAAGTATTTTTGTTATATCTACTAAGTCAAAACTAAACAGATTTGAGATTATTTTTAGAAAGTGAACATTTGAAACCTTCTCTATGAAAAAATGTTTTGTGTTGTTTCTAATTCTTGGCATTGCTTAAGAACCACCAAGACCAGTGATTGTTAGAAGAGCTTGGGAACGAAGATGCACTTAAATTTGAAAATACTAGGTGCTAGTCCTTAGGAAGAACAGAACTGAATGTGAATAGAAACAGATCAGCCTCATTTCCTCATGCAGCCTAATATGAATAAATAAAGTATCTGGTAGAAGAGTTGACAACCAATTTTTAATACTCTCTTTCGGTTTTAATCATCAAATGTATTTCTGTAAGGTAGTTAAGAATGTACGATGATTTTTTTTGAACAAATCTTTCAAATAAGGAAAGATGTTAGATATCTAGACTATATGTAAGGCCTCTTTCTGGCTCCTTCTGATGGATTCAGCTGTCTTTGGAACTGATTTCCTACTTTCATTTTTTTAACTAGTGAAGAATTCCTTGCAGTTTTAGTGGAAAAAAATAGTCAATGTTAGTACCATGTAGTTTGCAGTTAGTAACCAACATATGCCTTAGTCAGAAGCTTGGGTATAGGTTGAATGATGAGCGTAATATAATAATTTCATTTGGGAGTTTTGATACCCAGTCCTGACAAATGGTCCTGCTTGCCTTTTTCTTTCCTTGTAATAAGCTGTATTTCCTCTTGTGTACACAGTTGTAAATGACCTTTCTGTGTGTGGTCCTCTGCATGGAATCCTTTCATAATCTCTGTAATCTACAAACCAAGTTGATGTTATCACACATTTTACACATGGGAAAACAAGAGCAGAAAGGTGAAAATACTTGCCTGAGGCCACAAAATGAGTCGTTTGCTGAGCTGAAGTTTCCAACTCACCACTGAGGCTAAGAAGCTTTTGTATTAGATCTATATATGCCATATTCTTTCTTTCCTAAACTGAGAAAACACTGTGTGCTTTTGCAGAGGAGGTCTGCTGGAGAAGAACAAGAAGCAGTCACTTCACACACGCAGAGTGCCAGAAAGAGTTTTCCATAGCAACAGTGTGACAACTAATACACAAAAATCATAAATTGTGTATAACAGAAATTATGAGTACATTTGTGTGAGTTAATTTGTCTTCTGTCTTTGACCTTCAGGCAAAAGTAGACAATGAAATCCTTGATTACAAGGATTTAGCAGCCATTCCCAAAGTCAAGGCCATTTATGACATTGAACGTCCAGACCTAATTACTTATGAGCCATTCTACACTTCTGCCTACGAGGACAGACAGGAGAGACAGAGTCTTGGAGAGGTAATGAACCGACAAGCAACTCATTCTGCTGTACGCTTTATTCAAAGCCCGCTTTGCTTCTATCCTTTTTTGAAACAGTTTTTAATTGACACTCTTTGGTATTGTTGCTGCTGCTGTTCAAAGTGCTTCTTGTCTGTTTGATCTGGGTTTTATGGGAACAATCCTGATGATGCCTCATGTGCGAAACTGCACAATTAAATACACAATTGAACACCTACATTAACACCAGCCACTGGCAGGGAGGAGGCTTGCAGGTACATACATGTCTGTATGCGCGTTCTCATAACTCACATGGGTATCCTAGTTTTTGGGTACAGCAAAGTCCAGAATGTGAGGCAAAAGCCAACCTGGTATGCTGTACAGCACTGATATTCACAAGAGAAAACAAGAAATACCGTGATGTTCTGTGGCAGTAAAAGGAAAGCAGGGTAGTTGCATTATGGAAATAGTCGCCTCACAGTTTAAACTGCTGACATTTAGTAAGGATTCTTGTATCATGCGATGGTAGAAATAACCATTTAATTTATTCTCTTTAATTTGTATTTAGAGATATCTTTCAGATTGTAGGGTCCCTCAGTTTTTTGAAGGTGAACTTCCATAGCTGCAATTACTATTTACATGGTTCCAGTGCAGATCATGAAGCAGGTTTTGTCATATAATACCATCTGACTGTAAATCAGACTTGTAGAATACAAATTTAAGTGGGCATGGAAATGCATTTATTTCTTTGCAATCTTAGTGACTTTACTGACTGTAACTGAATTGAGTATGAAGGTGAGCTGAGGAGAAAGCAAGTACAGTAAACCATTCAGACACCAGTGGTCTGAAGAAGCCCAGATCAGTGACTGATAATCTGCTCCCTTAGCAACAGATCAGAGCTGCCTCAGTTCTGCTTTGTTCTTTAATGTTTTATACAGTTAGTCTTTTAAATTATAACATGAGTTGGAAATTCAGGAGGCTGTTCAGCTCAGGAATAAAATAAGAGATTAAAAGGTCAGATACTTACAGAATTTCCCCCTCTCAAATTTAAGTTGGAAGTGAATCCAGCTGACACCTGGTTCAAAACCACTGTGAGATGCGTTGGTGACCCTGGCCAAGAGGCCAGACCCATTCCACAAACCCTCTACAAACACAGGTCTTGTTAGTCACAGAGGAGAAACCAATCTCACTCAGAGAAGGTGGACTATTTGTTAATCCTTATGGGGAAGCTTCTCACTGACAAAGCAGTAGGGTGGAAACTGATAAAGCAGTATGGTAGAAGCTGCTGTTATGTTTGTTCTGGAGGTAAGCAAAAGCCTTTGGGATTTTCTTACCCGTATTTTCGACAGCATTAAATCCAATTAATTTCTGGTGACTACAGAAGTTTCTTCTGGAAACAGAAGGGCTCTGACCTTTTCTTCAGAGGGACTGGGTTTTCCACTCAATGCTACTGCTACTTCTGTCACCTTGGGCAAGTTACCTCACCTCTTTGTACCTGTTTCTCCTCCCTTCCCTTGCCCTAATGAGAACACGAGCCCATTGGGGTGGAGTGATCTCTTACTTTGTGTTTGTGTTGTGGTAATGGAGTGACACCTCAACCTTGGTACACCATACATCAGTCACCATCTTCTTTAAAAAACAAAGGAGGTGACATGTCTAGTTATGGCAGGGATTTGCAGACTTTGAGTGATTTAACCCACATTCTCTTTGCAAAGTGTGTGTATGTGGTGGTGTTAAATAAAATGGGACCCTTGAGTTAAAGCTTGCACACTAGAAATGCCTCTTACCATGGTTCAAAAGAAATAATTAAAAGAATCATTTAACTCGGCTATGAAAGACTTCTGGGTGTACAAGGGAGATGTGCAAGAGCCACTGAAGTTAATCCAGTAGTGGAGACAAAACTTTCATTACAAGGAATGAGCTACAAGAAAAGTTTATACTTCAGCTATAGAAAATGAGAAAACACAGCATGAGACTTGCTTCTTTATTACAATGGAAGGGAAATGCTTTGAAAAGTTTCTCACTCATCATCTCTCTTGTTCAGTTAAATCCCAGTCTTGCTTTTCTGGGCATCTTTGATGAAAAATGTTTTCACATAGCACCATCTAGCGGGACCAGGCATTTTAGTTACAGCTCCGCCAGCAGTTAATAGGGAAGAGAAAGGAAGTTCATGTTTTACCTTCCGATGTAAAAGAGGTGAAGAGGTACGAAATGAGATCTGTAAATAAATGTTTTGCTACTGACGGTGACCCTTAACATAGCGATAATGTTTCCAGAAACTGTCAGTTACTGAGGTTCTTCATGTCCTGTAAGTTCTGTCCTGCCAGCAGCAACCTGACCAGTGCTGAAATAGCCTTTTCTGAGCTCTGACTTTTGCTGTGTTAATATTGAGAGAAGCAGCATTTTATCTGCATGTCCTTTGCATCTAGTATTCTATTTGTTGAAAACATTGAACGTCAGTAACAGCTTTCAGTACACAAGCTGTCGTAAACTGAGAAAAATATTTTTTCTAATGTGATAGATGCTTTGAAATGGAGCAGGCACTCTACCTGGTAGTTCAATAAAAAGGACAGTTAAAATGAGGTTGGTGCAAAATGCTGGAACTTGTGTTACAAAATGACACCTGTAGAAGTTTGCAGAAATTTCCCAGAGCACAGAGTGACCTGTATGACTTTAGGTATTAGAGCAGCCCTTTAGATCTCAAAATCATAAGAGCATTGAGCCTGTTGCAGTGAGTAGTTTTACTGTAGGCTTCACATGGAGCTAAGTTTTTATGTCTGCTGCTGTTAGATCAATAATGAAATGGTGGTTTGCTTTATAGAACTTGTGCAGTTTTAAGGATTAGGAAAATGTGGATGTAAAAGACATTCAAAGCTTTGATGGAATAAGGAACGTAGTCTTTAAGAAGCTTTATGGAAGCTTGCTGAAAAGGAGATGTTCTGCACCCAAATTAAAAACGTCACTCCTTTGTTTGGATACTTTGCATTCACAGTGTCGCCAGCTCCATGAAAGTTAATGATCTCTCAATGCAAAATGTATAGCTGGATATTGATTACCAGAAATTCTGCATACGTTTTACACTACTGCTGTTGTACGTTATTGTAATAGTTAGACCAGAATCGTCAGTTTTGCTTCTCAGACATTATCTTAATAACTATATCATTTTATAATACTTGTGGTCTTAATTTAAAAGCATAATCTCTCGTTTATTATGGCAATTAAATAATATTGAAGTTTAATGCATGTAGAAAATAATTAAATCCTGATCTCCTAGCTTCAAATTGCCTTATGATTAAAGGGCCTGTGACTGGTAATTATACATGGCCTTTATTCTTCTTCATACCATCAATGTATGCATGATCTTATGCTTTATTTCTAAATGTATTTCTTGCCTCAGTTTCCCTATCTCTTTAATGCAAAATTTTCATAATAGTGGGCCAGTTCTGCCCACTGGCCTTTGCACAGTTCTTTCAATGTACACGCTTGTAATTCCTGTCTCTTCTCCTTATGTCACCATGGAAGAACACAGAGTTTTTAAGGAGATCATATCAAAGAAGTGCTGATGACAACTGTGTACTCCTTTGCATGGGTATGAAATGCAAGGCCTTGGGGAGAAGCACATTTTTGCCAGAGTATGTGTGTTGGAGGAAAAACATGCTTCATCCTGGAAGTTATTCTGTATTTCTGATGCCATGCAAAGCTCTGAGTTAAGATTATTTCTTTTTGATTTCCACTTTAAAGATTTCTTCGTAACAGGCATGGTTATTAAATTAATAACCCTTTCTGATTTTGATCTTTACAGCGATGTTTTAATTACCACAGTGATTAGATGGCTGAGAGATGATTTTGCATGATATTTGACTGAATTAATCACGCTTATAAAGATTCTTCCAGAAACTTTAATTACTCCAATGATTTATGGACCAGTTCGTGAGCAGGTTGGAAAAAGCAAGTTCCAGTGCTGCAATTGCCGTAATAATATCTACATTGCCATTTTATGTTGCCATGTATCCATGTATCTGCAGCGATGTTTAGATTGCCATTTTCTGGCCCAGCACACACAGCAATGTTTTGATAACCTTATTTTTATGTCTTTGCAGTCTCCAAGAACATTATCACCTACCCCTTCTGCAGAAGTAAGTTTGGTGGAACCTGTGGGGGCAGTATCTTACTATGATCAGAATTACTCACTTCAGCAAACACAGGTCTTGATTTTGTTATCAGTCTGATCCGTCGCTGTTTGCCACTTAGACATGCTTTCTGAATATTGAAACTTCACAGAAATTAACTCTGAAATCATTAAGTTGTTATTGACAGATTGTACAAGAAATGAAGCTAGCACTCCTACTCGTTTTTTCTCTGTAAAGCAGAGTCATTTCTCCAGCAGAGGTCACTTCTTGCACGTTCATCCCTGTGACACAGGCGGACTCAGATCTCAGGAACTGGATGATTTACATGAGCTAAAATGCTGCTCTAAGCATCTAAAGAAAAAAACATGCTTGCTACTAAAACATTTGCAGTTTTGTCTTGAAGAAAACATAACTGTGGCTTGGTTTGGTTTTGGTTTTGCTTAAGAGTGAATTTGAACATCACAATAACATGGAACATTTGGGAAGTCATTTGTCAGGGTACAATAGATACCATTGCAGAAGCACTGTCATTTTGGGGCTGGCAAGTGTTGCTTATTTGCAACATAAAAGTCACAGTGATTACTACATGTTAAAAAAGTAACTATAAAATTTCTTGTAAATCTTCATGCATTAACATCAATCCTGTCCCTTTTGTCCTGGTTTGGTTTGCTTTCTGAGGTTTGGGGGTGGTGGTGTTTGTTTTGAGGGTTTTTTTGGTCTTTTATTGCCTTTTTTGCTTTTTCTGCAATGGCACTTCAGGGCATGGTTTAGTGGGCATGGTGGTGTTGGGTTGACGGTTGGACTTGATTATGTTAGAGGTCTCTTCCAACCTTAATAATTCTGTGATTCTGTAAATGGAATTATATATGAGAAGGTGTCATGTTTTCAGATACAAAGGGAGACAAGTGGTAAAATTAAGCCACAGAGAGCTCTGTGCTGCAGCTATTGAACTCTTGCTGCTCTCCAAGTTAGCTGAGGGCTAGCTCACGCATCTTGTGCAGTACGCTGCATACTCCGAATGTACAAACGTTCTCTCTGAATGTAGCGTCCCTTATCGAGTCACACGAATGTGGGCAAATCTGGGATTATAAGGAGTTTAATAGAAATTACAGGTGAAGTTGGAACCTTCCAAGACTGAACTCTGACCCAGACTATAAAAATGGGTTGGAGTCTTGGGAGCAGATCATTAGAGAACAGTAATAATGACGTAAGTTGAAAGCTCAAGGGATATTGTTATAACGGTAGCTTCTGCTGATGTCTTCAGATGCATGAAAGCTAAATGCTGCTAAAATGTGTAATGTGCATTTAAATTTATTAGTGAATGCTTCTGTTCTGCAGGGTTATCAAGATGTTCGGGATCGTATGATTCACAGGTCTACCAGTCAGGGCTCCATTAATTCTCCAGTGTACAGTCGCCATAGCTACACACCCACAATGTCACGTTCGCCTCAGCATTTCCACAGACCTGGTAAGGGCAACTGCATTAGAAGTATGTCTAACACTATTGTTCCTTTATTATGGCACTTAGTGGTGCAGCGAAACACTTGCTTCTCTTAGAAGTGAAAATTTAAGTTTGAAAAATTGTTGCATATTTTAATATTCCTTTTTCTACCTTTTTTTTTTTGTTCTTGATTGATGCAGTCTTCTGCACCAGGCTGATGAGTGTTTCTTACGTCATTAATAGGCATCTTCTGGTTTTGTTTCCATTTTATTTTTTAAAAAATCTTTGTATGTTTCTGAAAGTGAGTAAAAAATTGCAGCAGTGTATCACGTACTTCTTTCTGGAATTTAGAAAATTTATCTCATATTGGAAACAAAAGTTATGACTTGACTATACAGAAGTCAGAAATGTAGGATTACTCCCTCCTATAAAGCAATTCATTTGAAGATTGGTGCAGCTGTCGAATCAGCCGCAAAACACCCAGATCCTCCAAATTGCTAGCAATTTTTTAAAACATAGATTCTTGATTTGCAAGGTAGATTTCTTAATGAAAGCCATAGGCAATTGCCTGGGAACATTTAAAAAACACAAACTTCATTTACTGGTTTAGCAGTGATGTGCAAGTTCTTTGTACAATATAGAAAATATGCAGGTCATTCAGGTTCCCAGTGCATTCAAAATTACTGGTTGTGTATAAAAAAGCAAGATGTGAAAATGACTGTTCATCCACACCCAGATTGTGTAAAAATGCATCTCTAAATGCTATATTCATTGAAGACTTTTCAAGACTGATTTTATTGTTTATGGTAATGAATTAAATCTTGTCAGCTGTTTTTAAATTAAGCGATACAATTGTGCAGTTCCATCTTCCTGGGTGATTACAGCTGAACAGTTGGGATGCCAAAAGCCCATATACAATAGGAGCTGCATTTTTAAAATTAAAGATTTATAATAGAGCCACCACTGTGGAACTTGAATGCTGTAGCCATTTCCTAGTGAGGGTGGGCTGAAAGCAGCTAATTGTGTCTGTCAGTGAATGCCTTATTTAAAGGACCCAAGGGAGCTGGGACAGAAGCAAATTGTGTCTGGTACTTAGTGCTGACAAAATGACTGTGTTTTAAGATGACGTTACAACTAAAGCCAAAAGAAAATTAAATGCGTGAAAAAGCTGCAAACTTCTGTCTCTTGATTCTGGCGGTTCTGAGGGGATTTTTCCATTTGTATCAGTTGTATCAGGGATATGAACGAATCCAGGCCCTATTCCAGACTTTACTGTGATTGGGTTTTGCTGTCTGCGTTCAGTCAAGGACCTTCCCCAGAAGCCGTCTCTGTTTATGCAACTGTTGGGATGGGCTCAAGGCAGAGTTTGGATCCAAAAGTAAAATCTTCAAAAGTTTGCAGCCTGAGGGAATTTCTGAGAAGATATTTGTTCAAAGCTATCTCTGTTCAGATGATCTCATCTTTGGCTCACCTGTTTCTGTTTCTCCTATGACAAAGAAGCAATTATGTAGAATTTTTCATCCTGATCTTTGCTACCCTGCTTTGGGGTAATTGTTAATGCTGCTTTATAATTTTTACAGTAATTGTTCATGTTGAATAACAGCACATGTATATTTGCCATTTTTCTTCTAATGACATTTCATATCATCATGTTATTTGCAAGAATAATTTCTCTCTGAATAAGCCCAGTGGCCTCAGATAACTTCTCTTTGGCTCCCAGCTAGCCCTTGAGAGAGAAGTGAACCACTGTGTTGACGTTGTCAGCATAAGGTTCTTAAAAAATTTGAGTGCTACAAGTTTTGAAAAAGTTTGCAGCCTTTTCCTCCTGCAGTGTCCTAGCTGATGTTGGCAGCACTTTTGGAATGTCTTAAAACAATAGAAAACAGCTTGCATGCCTCTCGACTGACATTTTTTGGTCAGGCACTTTTCGAAAGAGCTGCTTTCTTAACTAATTGAGCGACAACTTCTGTGATGTTTGCATGCTGGTAGCAGGCTACTTTTTGGTAACAAGGCATAGATCAAAGCTCGTTAAGGCAATAAATGTTATGCCAAATTAGCAATGCAGTTCAAATCTGAGCCTCTCTTCTAATACTTCCTGTAATTTTGTCTAACATTTATGAACCCTTCAGTACGTCTTTAACCTTTTTTTTCTCCTTCCTTCTTTTCAGAATCCTAATTGTTCAATGCCTTTTTTTTTCTTCCTTTGAAGCCTCCTTCCCTGCCTTTCTCTTATTGTTTTTCTTTGTTTTCATTTTGTTCTGCCCCCTGATTCCCTGCTGCCGCAGAGCTGCTCTCTACTGGTGTGCAGCGGTTGTCATACCTGCGCACTAGCAGTGTCAGCTCCTCTCACCATGACTCCCGCCCCAACTCCCCCTTCCGACACCACTTCATCCCCCATGTCAAAGGTAAGGAGCCAGGCCTCCCCAGGGAGTACCCTCCAGCCTGGAGATGTATTAGCGTTCTGTCAAAGCTCTGTAAGGTCGTCATTGGCTGTGTAGCTGAGCATGCCTCGAAATGTGCCGTTACACTTAAAATTACGTTAGAATAGACATAATGTCCTTTTTTTGGAGGAAATATGTCATTTCTAAGGGCCCTAGTTGAAGACTCATCCAGTAATTATCTATTAGAATATACAGTAAAGCATTATAATTTACTATTTAGAACCTCTATGTGCCTTATTTAGCTTTTTTCTAAAACAGTACCTAACAATCACTATGGCAGTTACCAGATCAAATTTAACTATTATTTCCACATTCTTAAAATATACATTTTAAAATTGACCACAAATACTGCCTGGAAGGTGATCGACAATATGAAGAAACATAAAAGATTATGTAAAGATCAATGGCAACACAAAAGACAATCATTGTTAATCACATTGTCAATAATTAGTGCCCCACAAAATAAAATTAAAATCTCTAGGCCTCTCCTCAACTAGTGGGAATCAGCAGACTCTGCTGAAGGCAGTAGAGATGCAGGGATTTACACTACCTGAGGATCTGGTCATTTCTCTTCTTTTCAGTCTGTTATTTTTCATGGTTTGATTTTGGGGGAGGGTTGTTCTTTCGTTATGACCCTTCAAGGAGCTCACTCAGCTCAATAAGCTTTTAGTTTTGTTTCTTGCTTTCTGTGAATGTGGTTTTACTTTTATTTTTACTGGAGCACTCTCTGGCTGGGCCATCTCTTCTGTTGGGGGAGAAGGTCACAGCTTATGTCACCTACAAGAGCTCGAAAAGAGGCAGTTGAGTAAACTGAACATAGATTCTATTCTGGCACCACTGATTAATGTAGATAATCATAAACTGACAATAATCAAAGCCAATTGCAGAGAAGTTGTTGCCATGAACTTTCAAGAAATGCTAATAGATCTCAACATTATAGTTCTTCAGGCATTCAGATCACCATTAATAATTTTACTTGTGTTTTTGTAGATTATTTTTGTTAATACACACTTTCAGCTTTCTTGTTATGTCACTATAAAAAAATCTCACTTCAAACTTAAAAGATTGGGACCCTTAAAAATAGATACACTGCTCATTTCAGCATGCAGTTAATTCATAATCCTTTCAATTTCAACATTTCTTTGCTGTAAATCCAA